GGGCTGGTGGGCGGGGGGAGTTGAAGCCTTTCCCCGCCCGCGGGGCCGCAGCTGGGAGCCGCCGGGCCCGGGCCCGGACCCGGGGACAGGCGGGCTGTTCAGCCTGCGCGGCGCAGGGGCGGCCGAGCCGCCGGCGCTGCTTTGCCGTCGAGCCTTCTGGTTTTATTCCCCTCACCGCCAAGGAAGTGCGTGAGCATCCTAGTGCCTCTTATCTCTGGGGTAAGGAAAAGTAGCTGTTCTGAAATGCAGTGACTGAGGGTAGCGTTTGTTTAGCTTCTTGCAAAATGCCCACTGTTTCAGTGTTTGAAATTAAACACGGAAAGTACGGAACGCAGATGGAGAACAAAATCTCAGCTGCAACTGTGATAATTGTTTCTTCCCCTGAGCGATAGAGCCTTTCTGATCTATGCTGCTTTCCTGTTTTTAACATTGTTCTACAAGTATTTATACTTGTTATTTTACAATAATTTTCAGTGAACTTATCTTCATTAAAAATACTGCAGTTTTTCTTTTACTTTGGGGTAACTAAATTGTATGTCTTATTCTAAGAGAAGGGGAAAAAAAAACCTGTTAGCAAAAGACTTGATATCTATGGTATAAGCAGTGAGGTAAGTTCAAAGAACCATGAATCAGAGACATGTTGTGCAGTGGTGAGGCTCTGTCTGCCCTTCTGCGTCTGGCTCAGCCATTCCTCTGACCTCCTCTGAGCCTAGCTAGGCAACCACTCCAAACATGCACCCGCAGCGAAGCGCTTAAAGGCAGGGTTTGTTAGCTGACTTGAGGCAGCAACCTGCTAACAGGGCTGCTCCGTTTCAAAATCTGAACTGGTATAGCAGAATAGGGCTGCATATGCAAGCCTCTAGTACAGCCAGAGAGGCTGTATGTCGTAGACACAGTTAAGATCAACTATAGGCAAGAGTGGTGGGCTAAGCTCAGCAAGAGTACTTCTGGGTAAAACTGAACTATTGCAGAATTTTAGTATAATTTGTGCATGTTCATTATTCTGCGATAAATGGAAAGAAAGAAAAAAAGATTTGGCTCAGAATTTGCTACTCGGCCTCTGCTAATTCCTGATTTTAATGTGCAAAAGGCAAGGAAAACAGGAACCACTAGGAATGGAATTTGTAGCTGAGCTCAAATTTCATTAAAGGAAGGACTCATCCACTACCCAAAAAGATGTATGGTTATATAACTAGTGATGAAGCTGTCTCTTCATCGCATTGTTTTATTTCGCCGCTGTGCATACATTGTTGGTTTAAAAAGGGAAATAAATTATGTTTATCAAAAAAACATTTTCTCTTAGCTCCAAAACATTATAAAAGTATTGTCAGTAACTTGTAGATTAATATTTAGGGAGGAAAAAATAGTTGTTGATAGAAATATATTATCATTACAAATATGTTTGCTGCTGATCAGTTGCTACTTGTTTTAAGGTCTGCATTTTTGTTCCTTTATTCCTCTCTCCAGGATTTGGAATGCTTTGACTGATAATTATGGTAACGTAATGCCAGTTGACTGGAAATCTTCCCACACCAGAGCCTTGCACTTGCCAACACTGAATCTTTCAGAAAAAGGGGTAAGTTTTGATCAGAAAAAATACCCTCTTTGGATCTTTTATACTCAGCAGGGAAATAAAACAATTTGCATTTGTATAAAAGAGTGTTGTTATTAAATGGCTTAAAATATTTTTAGTGCTTGGCGTTATACATGAGAGGTTTTTAAAAATCAAAAAATCAAACAACCGTTGATGTATGTTTGCATCTCCTTCCAAAATAATTCATGGTTAGTTTTAGATGGATGTTCATTAGAGCCAGAGCATGATAGAAAAAATTGTAAAATGAGAAAGTGTTTCATATAAAATCTTTCTACTCTCTGTTTCATGTTGAACACTATTCTGGGTAAGGAAGGAAAAGAGGTGCGACTACTCTAATTTAGTAAATCCAGTGTGGACTTTTTTTAAGTTCATCTCATTCTGCAGTCAGGTGGAGACTAAAGTGGCTTCTTTTACAGGAAAGGTGACCCAGGAGACACTGAAGTGCAAGAGTTTGTTTTGTTTTGGTTTTCTTATTTAACAAGTAGAATAGTTGCCTGGGGAGGGAGCAGGGAATGAAGACCTTCAGAGAGGTTTATAGAAAGGGTTGTCCTCTGATCTTAAAAGTGGATTAAAACGCTTCAGGAAGAAAAGCTAGGAAGAATTCTCATCTCCCAGGTCTTCTGAGGAAACAAGTGGCTTATCTTTTCAACATAGTGAAGCTGAGTTATGTTGTAAAAATATCTGCGTGTGTAGCCTGAGAATAGGCTAATGCTTTGACTTCTGCCATCCATTATATAATCCACAGCTACTTTTTACTGTGACAGGAACAAAGATTGTTCTGCTGAAGAGGATGGATACTTTAGGGTTCAGCAGGGGAAGATGGCAATTTGGAAATCGCTTTCTCAATTTGAGTCTGATGATTATCCCTTGAATTTGACTTGTGTTTATTCTAATTTTTATTACAGTGTTTGTTCAGATTTTCTAAGTGTTTTTAGAGTAATTAAATCCTTACATTTAAAGTAAAAAGACTTAAAACCCCCCATGCTGTGACCTTGTTGCATGACTGAAAAATGGACCGGAAGACTGATGGATTTCTTGATAAGAAACTAGGTACAATATTAAAAAATGGTTCATACAGGTTTTGTAAGTTCTTTGCAGGAAGTTTTGAGAGAACTACATAAAAAAAGGTAAAGTGGTGTTGCTGAATTAGAAAGAATCTTAGGTATGCTGCCAGTGTAGGGAAAATCAGTTTATGGATTAAACATATCTCAAGTTTTTTCAGCTTTCAATCCACCTGGCATGCCTTTTGATGTGTAAAGCCCATCTGTTTGGGAGCGTTTGACATACTTTTTTTTCTGCTTCTCTGTGTTTCAGCAGTATTTCTGGGTATGTGACAGCACATACGGACCAGCTAGTAGCTTGTTTTAACTTTCTTACAATGAATACTAACAGCTAAGCAACACTTCCTTGATGCGTTTGAAACTAATAATATGCTGTTGAATGTGTGCTTAAAGTATTTAAGCACAGTCCTTCCTGTTTTAGTAGGAAAAAAATGTAAGGTGAATGAGACTGATTCATCTAATCTTTGTTGCTTCACATCACAGATCTGTGAACACTTGTATGTGGCTCTGACGGTGAAAGAAGTAGTTGGGTGGAAGTGTTGTGCAGTGGTAAAAGGAACAGGATTGTGCAATTGCTTGTTTATTGTATTTTTGCTAGATTACTTTTAAACAAGTCATTCCCTGGTAGGAGTGTGAGGGCAGAAACAGGCATGGAGTGTGGCTGGGTGGAAGGCCAGGTGGTCCTTTTGGCATCAGCTGTAGCTTGGGCTGGTTTAGGTGGTTTATTAGCCTAAATTATCAGAATATATTCTGATAGTCTCTCAAAATGTTGTTTCTGGAGATGTCAGGAGGGGAAGCTGACCTCCTTCTAGATAAACTGTTATCCTTGCTTACTATCCCATAGTTGTTGTCATAATCCTTATATACACAGAAAAACATCTGAGGACTGCAGACATTAAAGAATGTCAAAACTGGGATGTATCTGTGCAGTAGGTGAACAGATATTCTTAGTGGTGCCCTGTCACTGCATGGTTATTGGAATTCAGATTCTGGAAAAAAGTGGACATTGGACTTCATTCTGATGGCTGAAGAAACACAAATTGTATGTTTTCCCCTATAGACTAGCTGTCTGGGGGTATCAGTAGCATCTTCAAAATTAATCTGAAAGCTATTAAGGTTTCTGAAGAAACTGGGAAAATTGGAGGAATTACAACAAAAATTGAAAACTGATACGGTGAGACCAAGGACTTTATACAGCTAGTCATAATGCTTGTAAATTAGCCCAAAGATCAGTTAAAGCGATTGAGCTCAAAATGTCAAATGTTAGGGGTTGCGGCTTTTGGGGGCTGGGGGCCTTTTCTGGGTTGATTGGGCTGGAATCTAGTAACAGACAAAGTGCAGAAAAAGCAAACAACTTTGTAAAACTAGAATATATCATTGTGTGAGAGTAAAATATACCTGACTGATTAAGGAGGGGACTTAAAACTTTTCTTTTACTGTATGTACATCTTTGATTTTGAAGAATGAGTGTAATTTGATGGTATATGTGTGGGAACAGTGTTAATTCTGTTTCTTTTTGAAAAGACCCTAAGATATTAAACAATATATTTTTAAAATAATCTGGGGTGATAACCATGTTCTGGTTTTTAAACCAACTTTTTTCGTGTCTTTTATTATGTGAAAAAGTATAACTATAAAAGCACGTAAAATAACAGGTTTGTGTAATGTTAGAGATTATAGATAGGTTTTCACCCCACACTGACAAATGTCTATCTTCATCTAAGATTTACATACCTACATTGGATTGACTGCCTTCTCTGCAGATATCTGCGTGTCATTGTGTATATGGTCTTTATATGCTGAGGGTATTTAAAGACTTTAAAGACTGACAGCTTTTTTAACTTTCTCCAATTGCAGTTTTGACTTGTTAGAGATTATAGATAGGTTTTCACCCCACACTGACAAATGTCTATCTTCATCTAAGATTTACATACCTACATTGGATTGACTGCCTTCTCTGCAGATATCTGCGTGTCATTGTGTATATGGTCTTTATATGCTGAGGGTATTTAAAGACTTTAAAGACTGACAGCTTTTTTAACTTTCTCCAATTGCAGTTTTGACTTCAGTTGTTAAGGTCCCTCAATTTCTAGGTATTTGACAGCAAGAATCATTGATTCCATTATTTTGGGCAAGGAATCTGTTTCATTCTTGTAATTCAATATTGGTTACCCTTTTGCTTTTTATATATGCACATGTATTTTATATATATATATAAACACACACAAATGTGTATGTGTATTTATATAAATACACATTTTCATGCTTTCTAGGTAAATGATAACTTGAACCTTGACCTGTCAGATGACGAAGAGCTGAGAGAACAGTTGGATATGCATTCTATCATTGTTTCCTGCATCAATGATGAACCACTCTTCACAGCAGAGCAGGTAAAGTGTTCCGCAAAGACAGTGTTGTTGGTGTAGTATTTTCTTTTAGTCTGTAATTATTTTTTGTTGTTCTTCCTTGCTGTTCACCATAGCTAAGCTTCTTGATCGTTCTTGATTTAGGGTCGTAATAACGTGTGAGATATTACTACATCATTCAGATTTGAAAAGTACTCCAATGCTTCAGGTGAGGTTGATAGTCCAGGGTGATCAAATCTTTATACATTTCTTACCATGAATTAGTCAGAAATACTACCAAATTAAATATAAGTTTTAAGAAGCAAAAATATTTTCAGAATGTTGGTGCTACTTTAGAGTTTGTAGTTTTCCGGCACGACTGTATGGCCCTTCATATCTTCATGGGGCTTTGTGGTTAGTGAGAATTCTTTGAAGCTTTTGCCTAGTATGAGAGCAGATCAGCAGTTCTGCTGCTAAGCTTTCAAATTACTTAGTGTCTAAAGGCTTCTGTTCCAAATCCATGGGTTTACTTAAGTTATCTTGAAAATTGCTCTTCTGAGTAAGGTTAATGACTGTCCATTAAGATCCTGCTTTAGTAAGCAAACGCAAGAATATATTTTCTTGTTGTTTAAATGGTTACCTGTGAACTCTGAACATGGTTATTAAGAGTGTGAGAGACAGGATTGCTTGAACTGCCTCAGCTCTTTTTTACTGAGGTGGATCTCAGCACTGTCTACAGCCTTTAAACCTGTAAAAGTTGATGTGTTATTTATTCAGCTGTTCAGTTAATAATTTAGCCTGTAGAAATACGGTCATTTCTATACTGAAAAGTAAGTGCTCTATGCACAGGATTTCTGCTGTCATACTTTCTGTCCAGCTCAGGTCTTACGCCCAGGGATGCAAATCAGCTGCAGGTTATGATGGATCAGTTCATAAAACTTCTCGTAAGCACAGTAGATTTTCAGGTTATTCAGAGCTTTTTTTTTTTGCTTCGAGAAGTATAGTGAAATGGGGGGTTGGGGAGGTAATTGATTTTTTTTGTTGTTTTGTTTTCCTTCAACTGAATACTCAGGAAAGATATTCTAGCTCACTCTTTAGTTAGTTCTCTTAAGCAGAACCATGCATACCTTCATATAGAAATAACTGTGTAGTTTCAACACACTGCTTGTTATCAGATCACCAATTTACCTTAAAAAGGTAGGCTTATTCTCAGAGACCAAGGATGGGGGGGAAATGTCAATATGATTTTGTTGATTCTCTTCCATCCAGTCTTGGTATTAGTTTCATCCAGCAGCATCTTCGCTAATTGAAAGTAAAAAAAAAAACCCTTAAGCTCTTAACAGCTTTGCTTCAAATTGAAGGCTGTTTCTCTTTGTGCAGGAGGGTTTTCATAAGGGTTTTCATTTTTTGAAGGTCATTGAAGAAATAGAGGAAATGATGCAGGAATCACCTGATCCAGAAGATGATGAAACGCCCACCCAGTCAGATCGGCTCTCCATACTTTCCCAGGAAATTCAGACACTCAAGAGATCCAGTACAAACAACAGCTATGAAGAGAGTAAGTGATATTTATTTAGTATTTTGCTCTTATGCTTATTGAAAATAGTTTAAAGGGTAAGTTTGCCATGTGTTTGATTTATAGCAAGCCCTTCTTATGAAATATCTGCATTCAAAAATGTTTTCAAAATGGTCTGAAAGGATAAACTAGATCTAGAACATAAATAGAAGACTTACCTTTGTCAGCTTTCATAACTTAGAATGAAGTTCTATGAAGTTTTATTTTTAAATTAAAACAAATGTGCTGAAGCTTGATTCACTGGAATGAGGTCCCTTCATACGTAAAGTGGTAAGTCGATCATTTTTATTAAACTTTATTAATTTCTATATTTTAAAGTGAGACACTTCCTTGAGGCCAGTACACTGTGTTTAAGAAGATTAGCTAAAGCTCTTGAAAGCTATGCAGTAAATAAAGAAAATGGTGTTTCTTTGGTACTGTTTCAGTCACTGCAACATATCTTGATACACAGTAACACAAAAATAAGGCAACCATTGCTTCCCACCCCACCCCCATAAGGACCTTGCATATTTTTCTCTCCTCCCCTTCCATTCCTCTTCAAAAAGCTTAAAAGTGAAAAAAAAAAAAAGACTTTGTATCTTCTTCTGCTCAAATGAAATCATCTGTTCTTTCCTATACAAAAGGAAAGGAGAAATTACATGTATAGTTTAATTGTAGTAGGTTGAACTGTATGTAAAAGAAACCTGTGATTAATCAGTTTCATGATAGAAATTTTTCATATGCGTATTTGTCAAAATCAATTCTAGAAGGTGATAGGAACACAAAGAATGTTTGCTAGATGATCCTTCTACTTTGGTCCCTCTTACAAAGTTTGGTGCTTTCTTTCCTGTAGTCTGGGTCAGTGATATAAATTCTCTAGAAGATTCAGAAAACTGGCTGGCCTTTTGTGACATGACTTACAGTTTCTGCTACACTTCAGATTTATGGAGGAGATGCCATTTTCATGGTTGGACTCCTAGCTGTCTCAACACATAAATTTCAGGAATGTGAAAGCAAAGTGTATCCTGTTCAGCAGGGCTTCCTGCTTTTCTGACAGTTCCATATGTCCTTAGGTTTGGAGTTAATCAAGCTTGCTTGGTATTTCATATCATATTTATTTTGCTTTGCCTCAGGAGTTCATCTTGTCTGTTGCATCTTTATGGTTTAAAGGTCAGCCTTGACCAAACAATGCCTTGAGTTACTTTGGCAGATAATTTAACTTCGCTTCACCAGTTTCTCAGAATCTGCTTTCATGTCTTTCAGGTCACTATTTTATGAAAAGTTCTTGCTACCTTTTTTTGTGTGCGAAGCTGCTTCAGAGTTAGTCTGCATCTCTGAAATTGTTGCAGGGTTTTCCTAGAAACTGTCTGGCTTTTATAAGACAAGTCAGAGGCGTTAATGTTTAGGATTGAGAGCAGGAAATCAAAGCTTGTATTTACTTTTTTCTTGGATAGGAAAAGACATGTATTAAGACAGTCCAAGAATAAAACCAGTTACAGCTCTGGTTACGCAGGTGAGTCCTTTAGCCTACATATCTAAGATTTAATCCAGTTAGTCTTCTGCATTTGAATTACTCTGTCTTCACTCACCTGCATCAGCTGAGTAGTTCCTATGTAGCCCTTTTGTAGGCTTTGATAACGACAAGTGATCTATCATAAACAAGTCGGGACTGCAGTTGGGTCATCTGCACCTATGTTTTTGGAACAATTGTTACTTTGGCTGTGAAGCTGGTTCTTAAGTGTTGGGACTCACTGGTGCTCTCTCTAATCTTCTTTCACAAAAACGAAACAGGGGTGCAACCTATGCTTTTTAGACTGTCCTTTGTACTGAATGCATATGGAACTTACTCATATTAGTTTTTACTACAGAGTATACTCAGTTTCACAGATTGTAAGGCCTATTCTGTGACTTGCAGCCACAGAGCACCACATAATCTTGTCGCTGAATTTACCTTTCTTCCCCCTGCTTATGTTTGAGTTGATGTTGCTATTTGCTATTGCTGACAGCCAGAGTTGACTTTGCAAAAAGTTATTGCTGTGGTAAGACCTACTGTGGTATGTGCAATGACTGTGAGCACAGCCAAGATCTGTGTTACGTGTAGAGGCCATAACCTGCATGCTACATATTTAGAATAGTTTAAACAACAATATAGGCGATGGATGGTTCAAGCTACTTGAAGATTAGATCCTTAAGCATATGGTACTGTTACAGCATTTGAACAGAGTTTAAGGCCTAAGCTACTCTGAAAAACTGTGGCTCCTTGTCGGAGAAGTGCCTTAACAGGTTTCATTGCTTTTTCTTTAGTAAGTAAGTGACAAGGAGCATTCCCCAATCAGTTTTCCCTGCTGTAATTTAAGAGAGAGAAATCACTTTTCACCTACTACCTTTGACGCTTCTAAGAGCTATACTTTTTTGTAGTTCGTGGCCTTATTTGTGTTTTTCAACACTTGTCCATAGGCACTTTCCCCTATAACAATTTTTTTAGACATGACGTTTACTAGACTAATTCAACGTAACCAAATCATTACGAACATCTATGCAGTGTCCTTAAATGGATTTTACCCTTCAGTGTAACCAGGACTAGCTGTTTCTCAAATGCCAATGCAAATGATGTTCTTTGACATAGCAACTGATGGGACTTACTAGCTTCCTAGGTGTGTCAGACTTAATTGGGAATGGAAAGCAGTCCTCAAAGAACGTGCTCAATTTTAACCCAGCAAGCCTCAGAACATTATTCTTGGTCATAGTTTCATTCTCTATAACACATGACCCTTTAAAATGTACCTTTAAAATGCAAACCTGGAGGGGTTTTTTGTTTCCAAACTGACATTGTACAGTCTTCTGATTTAGCTTTAACCAATTCAGTCTCATGCTTTCTCAAAACTATTAATGCTTATTTTTGATTGAAATGAGCCTGTCAGCTAATTTTGATCTAAGTCTTTGTTTCAGGCAATACAAGGCCATGCTTTTGACTACAATCCCCAGCCAAAGAAAATGTGGAGGATTTTGTTGGTTTTTCTACTAAATGCATCTAAAAATATTATCAGAAAAGCTTGGTGCAAGCTTTTATTAATATGCATGAATACCTTAGCAATGTCCCCAAGAAGATTCCCTCGCTCATAGACTATAGTTTCTATATTACTGCAGGTCAAAAATCCAAGGATTCCAGAAATGCCGAAGTGTTGATTATTGTGTCAGAAAATATGGAGACATTTTACTTTGAACAGTGAGTGTAGGTGGAAAGTAATAGTTAACAGAGGTGTCAGTATTAGAAGTTTAGCGCTTAACTTCAGCTTCCTTAACTACAATATGCTCTTCATATTTGCAGATTATCTCAGATTTCTCAGAAATAAGAAGAAAGTATAACCATCTTCCTGTTGCTAATCTAGTTGCCTCTGTGATGTGTTTATTCCTTTAGGAATATTGTTTTGTTCTATGTAGTTTTAGAATTGAATTTTTTGTTTTGAAAAATTTCAGAGTACTTTTTTTTCTTCTAATTCCCACAAGTATTCTCATGCTAAAAATCTTAACAGATTACTTTTTATATGAACTATTTATAGGAGTAAAAAGATTGTCTGTTGCCGAGTTAAATGAACTGCTAGAAGAAATTGAGACTGCTATTAAGGATTATTCTGAGGAACTGGTACAGCAGTTGGCTCTACGAGATGAGTTGGAGTTTGAGAAGGAAGTGAAAAACAGCTTCATTTCTGTCCTCATCGAAGTACAAAACAAACAGAGAGAACACAAAGAAACGGCAAAGAAGAAAAAGAAGCTGAAAAATGGTAGTCCTCAGAATGGCAAACAAGAAAGAGGTCATATGCCTGGAACAGTAAGAAAATTTTTGTAACTACTTATACATTCAAAATATTTTTTTGTTTTTTCCCTGTGGGAAGTAGTAGTCCTAGATTATAACAAGATACCTGGTACACCTGCTTCCATGCCTTCATTCGCAGACAAGACTTAGGCACTTCCTATTGAGATTATTTTGTTCACAAGGTCATATAACCTTTTGCTCTTCTCATACTCAAAAAAGATTTTTTTTTTTTAATTATTGTTTGCAAATTAGCCTGGAATCAGCATACCTTTCTTGCAAAAAAATACTGTCTTTGGATGTACTGCTGTGTGTTCTATTGTCAGTAGGCAAACTCATTTATCTGTTTGGTTTCACTGTGTGAATTTTAGTATGTGTACCACTGTTAGTCTTGCAGGAGATTCAGTATTATTGTTGGTGTAGTTGTACAGATATTTATTGATCGTGTTGGTTTTTAGGTAGGAAAAAAGTAAAAGTCTTACCCTGCATCTCTTGAAACCTGTGGCTGAGTTACTATGTCCAACGAGAGACAGGGGTGAGGCCAAAGTGTAGTGCAGGTGTACAGGAAGGAGATGATTTGGTTTATTCTTTACAGAACATAGTAACAAAAGGAAAAATGTCTTTCAAACAGAATTTGAATAATAGAAGGCAGAGAATGAAAGAAATCAGGTTATTATCCTGTCAATACAATTTTTTTCTTTCTTATCTGTCAGGTATAATTTTAAATTACTTAAGTGGGATATTAACGTTAGAATTTCTTAGTGTCTCTTATAGGATGCAGAAAATGTGCTTAATGCATTGTAGATCTTAGCTAAGTCCCAGAAAGAATGCTTCGGTTTGACATCAGAAGGTTTTGGGGGTTGGTTTTCAAACACAAGGAATAGACATTTGTAATGAAATATTAATTCTTCAGAATCTATTTCTAAACTTACAAGGATAAGATACCTGTGATATAACCCAAATGGAGTTCTGATCTTCTCCGTCTAATGAAAAGTGTTTGTGTACATAGCTAAGTTTAAATGGAACTCTTAAGAAAGTATATGTCTGGAAAACAATACAAAATTGTCATCCCTTTGCAAGAGCACAGTGTAAAGTTCAAATGTACTTCTTTTTGGTTCTCAGTCATGGAAAAATAAAAAGTGGTATTCTAACTTGAAAGAAAAATAATTATTTGGTTTTGAAACTTGAGTCAAGTGATTCGTAAGCTATTCTGGTTAGTTTCAAGTTTAGAGACTTGAATGATGCTTTCAAGTATAACTGTGAGTGGTCCCAATATAAGACACATTTGTATTTGGTTGCTTCAAGATACAGATGTGTCAGATTGCTTTCTGAGAGGGATTGAACAAACTGGCTCTCGAGTAAGACTGTAGCCTGCATATGTGTGGTTCATTTGAAAATAGCTTTCACTATTACCAAGTATAGATTTGAGAGCCTTCTCCCAGAAAGAGGTACAAGCTTACTTCCTTCAACACCCCTTTTTTCTTTTTTTCTTTTTTTTAAGGAAGTGCTGAGAATGTGCATACAGATAGTACGTTCAAGTAACTTTGTGAAGAGTGAGTTTCTGTTAAAAAAGTATAATGAAGTCTCATTTAAATACAAAGCTTGGAAGTAAGGTTAAATTTTCATACTGTTAAGAAAATCAATTCCTCTGTTTATGCTGTAATTGAATTTTAATAAACAGAGGTTTTAATTCTTTGTCCTTGATACGGTCTTTGGGTAAATCACTTTCTTAGACTTCTAAAACTTTTAACCTCTCTCACAAGGGCAAACTGGGGAGTAATTAAAAATAGTCAGGGCTTGAAGATACCAGTTACTTCAAGCAGGGTATCTTAAAAGAATTAAGATGGCTTTGGCAACATCTGTGTCTATTTACTGACCTCATTGTGCTTTAGAAAGCAAATGAATACTGTATTCCAGCACATTTTATTCCCCCTCCCATAAATAAATACATTCAGATAAGCATGCTGAGGTGTGCGCATCATACTGCCCTATGTCAGCAGCTTGACAGTTTCTTCTTTTTATGTTCTTGTCAGTTGCTGATTTTTTTATATCTCATGCTAAACTTCAAAATTGTTTTGATTTTTTTTCTTTTTACTTGTCTTCTCCAGCAAGCAAAAAGGATTACAAAGTTCAAGGAAAAAAACAGTGGTTGGATTATATATTAATTTTTCTTTACTTGGATTCCAAGATTCCATGTAATGGAGTTTGAAATTAATATGGGTGCATTATTAACTAATTGTGTGTATTTTATCATATTGCAAAAAAAGGGGACTACTAATTGTTGCTTCAGTTGTGGAAAAGGAAGCATGAAAGCATTAAATGTTTTAAAGAGGCAGAGCTGAAAATGAGTGCCTCTGAACAGTGTTTCTAGTAGGTGCTTAAAATCTGAAAAATGGGTATCAGCGGTGTCTCTAAAAGTATATTGCCCGAACACGAATTTTAAAGGAGATTGTACTGTGAACTAAACTTTCAAAAATACTATTTTTTACATTTCAAAATGAAACAACCTTAAAAGGCAAGTCTCGATTATTGGGTCTGCAGTCTGAAGATTTTGTTTGATTAATTTTGATGTAGATATACTGCTTAACTGCCATTATAAGGTTTGCTTTTTAATTATAAAAATTAAGTAGGTGAATGAAAACATAGAAGTGTGCTGAAATACATCTTAGAGCTTGTCTTTGTCATTCGTCTTTTATAGTCTTGATAAATGCTGATTAATAGTCTTCTGAACTTTTCTCTGTCCCTTTTTTTCTTTCTGCTATGTTTTCACTACTTTTAGCGCTTCAGCATGGAAGGGATCTCAAATGTCATACAGAATGGCTTCCGCCACACGTTTGGAAACTCAGGTGGAGAGAAACAGGTGCTGGGCTATCTTCTCTCTTTTCCTCATTCTTTGCCTGCACTTTCGGTAGGAGCTGAGATCTTGAAAATTGACAGTGGTTGAAGATAAATGCTGAGACAGGAAAAATAGGACAAAACTGTTGGAATCGGTACTCTTTCCCTGCCTCAGGACTCTGACCAGCCTGCAGTCCCTTTCTCTCTTCAACAGCTCAAGATAGTCAGGACTTGATAGCCTGATGCACTGAAATAATAACCCTTATTTCTTACCCCAGACTAAAAGTCTGTTTTGGCATAATGCATGCTTTAAATACATTGCATGTCTGTAAAAATCTAATATCCAATCAAAGAATACGTATCAGGTTAGACATAACATTTCAGCTTTCATCATTAAGGACTTGGGCAATATCTACAACTGAAAAAAAGTTTTGTTTTCTTTTTTCTTCGAATGTTCAGAGCTGATATATCTAAAAACAGAGTAGCATCTGGAAAATGCATGGACTCTCTTCTATGTCTTTTTGCCTTTGAAAACTGCATGATGTTAAAAGCAGCCAAATGTGTGCAATGCAGATTACTGATATAGAAGACATAAGCCATAGGCAAGTCTGTGTCTTTTCATTGACTGTTTAAATGTTGAAATATATGGCACGGAGACCGAGCTTCAGTGGATATCTCTGTAGATGTTACATATACCTAAGTAGCAAGATTCTTATGCTTTATTTCAAAGTAATACTTAATTGTTTGTTTCAGAACTGTAGTATGTATTTTATTAAATGCATTCTGTATTTTGGTAAAGTGTTAATGCTTATGCTATTGTTTAGGCTTTTGGCACACATTACAAAATATTGGTATTTTACATTATTTAACGCATACCCACCCATTATAGATTATGCAGTTGTGTCAGAGGAGTGCGTTAGATTTTTTTTTTAATTTTTTTTTCCCCCCCTGGTGAGAAGTCCATTGAGGCAATAAACTGCCTGGTAGTTTAGAAGTCATGGCTGATTAGGCTTTTGTCTGGAAGATGTCTGGAGTATCCTGCAGAGGAGTTCAGGAGGTAAAACAACTCCTCTCAAGTCATTCCTGAATCATGAGGTTAGAAATCATGCACTTTGCCCTCTTTCTCAAGCCAGGTATATGTATGAGAGTTCATGAATACATAGATCCAACTATTTGTCCCCAGCTTTGGGGTTCTTGAACACATGCATAGAGCTTACCTAACAGAGTTTTTATCACTCTACATTATCTCAATACTGGTAAAGTAATAGCTGTGCTGGTTTTTTTTCTTTGCTATCTTTACCATTTAATAATAAATTACAGCTGTTTACCTGTGTCTTTAGCTATTTTAAATATCTTGTATTTTCATAAAGTGAACATATTTAGCTATGCCAGCCCCTCTTATTTTTGGTTAAAAGACTTTTTATATCCATGTCTCCATTCAAATATACCTTTTCTTCTTTGACTGCCTCCTAACTTTCTAGACATAAGTAGCATAATCACGTATTGACAATAACACTGATTGGATAACTCTTCCAGTCATTTTTTGAGTTAGTTTGCTAATGTTATTCTTCATGTTGATCATACTTTTCCCCTGATTTATCTTATACTATATCCTTGCTAGCAGGTTTATGGGGTTTTTTTTCTCTTCCTGTATCCTAAAGCCAATCATGGAAATAATAAGAACTTAAAATGAAAAATGGGGGAAAAAGGTAGGAAAGATACCAGCTCTTTTCTGATTTAGTCCTGGAAATCCATTTTTCTATGGCACTTGTTTTTTGTTTGGGGTTTTTTTGTTTGGTTGGTTTTTGTCACATTACCAAACCCTGGCCCTGCTTTTAAAATATTGGTGTCATCTTCTTATTGCAGCAAGTTGCAAAGTAAAAAAAAAAAAAGTATCAGATGCTCAGTTGCTTAGTGCTGCTCTCAGAAGATTCGAGTGTTTTTTCAGGGTGTATTGTCATTCTAAACTCATGTTCAGGTGTTTTTTGCTAGCGGGGAAGTTATTTACCAATCTGGAGTTGTGGTCCAAAAAAAATGCAAGGACAGACAATCTTTTTGTGTACCTTAGAAGGTAGAAGTTCATACACATAAAGTGACAGCATAAAGTTTATGACAAGTTTGTACAGTTATTTCAGAACTCTATTCAGTCTTTAATTTTAATGGTATTTACCACCTTTACTATTTTCTGGGTAGCATTACTCTGATAGGGGGTATTTTCCTTTTTAAAATTTTAGTCCTTTTTTGTGTGTGTGTTTGAGAGACAGGTGAAAATGGCTTGGAATTTTTCAGTGTTTAAAGAGAAACTTCCAGTGGGAACTACCTGTTCCCATCTGATAACGCAGCTGGAAAAAACACCACCAACTGCATAAAAGCCATTGAAATGCTGGTAGCTCTTTCTGTGATCATATTTCCGGAAGAAAATTCAAGATAGTCATCTTCAATATGCCTAAAAATCGAAATGAACACTTTCTATGGCTGATTACAAATTGCAGTGGGAATTGCTGCTTATCATATTGTCAAATCTGCTTCAAAAATTTAGAGGTCACAGTAGACTTAACACTTGGGCATATCAGTAAGCTACGCTTTAGTCGTTTTTTCGTCCTTTTCATAATATGTTATCCTTCACACAGCAATTCAGGGAATCTGTTTTTATGGTGCTATTATAGAGACTTATTGTTGCAGCAGCAAAGTATTGATGAGACAAACAAGGTGATTTCTAGAAACTAAAAGAAATTACTTTTTTTTTTAATTATTACTGTTAGAGAGGAAAATTGGAAGGTGGAATTTACAGGAGAAGGAAAACAGGGAATATTGGTATTTGGTCCAGTGAAACATGTCCTAGTAATTTATTGTCGAGGTAAAGGGTAGAATGCCACTTAATTCTGAAGGCTGGAAATGACAGCCTGGGATCTGATTTCTGAGTTAGTAGATCTACTTTCATCTCTGACATTTGAAGATTTAACAGCCTTATATCTAGCTGTTGATTCCGGTAATTTTCTTAAGAGTGCAAATCTCTAATGATACCTGTTGGCTACATCTGCTGGAAAAGCAATTGAAAATTGACTGTTTCCTAAGAAGCATTGCATGCTTTCCTCTGCTGTGCTAAGTGGATGGGAGAAAATGCAAAAGGAATAGAGTGGGAGAAAAGCGCGCTGTGTTTGCCGAAGGTCTTGGTGAGGTGTCAGTACATCCCGTACAATAGGTTCCCTTAAGTTACACAGAATTGAGTCTGTCTGGCCTTTAGGCAGAGGATATGGTTGGGCATGAGGTACATGAGCCCGCTCTAAATATGGTGACGGTTATAGCTGCGTTTGGCAGCCCTAAATCTTCTTCTGCAAAGTGAACCCCTTCAGCAGAGTCTGAGTTACACTTGACTTGCTGAAGTGCTGCTACGGAGAGAAGGAGACCTTGTATATAACATGTTTTCTGATTGTTACGCGGAGAACCACACATATCTCAAGTTGAATGAGAGATAGAGGGTTGCTTTGCCTACTGCCTTGTAGCTGTTAACCCAGAATAAAGTTCCTGTTAAATTCTTAAAAATTGAATTGAGGGAGATTTCAGGAAGCTTTTTCATTAGGGAAATTCCAGTGATTTCAGTACTTTTGAAATTATGACCTCTTTAAAAATAATATGCATTCATATAGGCTGCAAAGTAAGATGTGGCCTAAATGCATTTAACAAAAATCTTAGAGCAACAGGGTTACTTCAAGAGTTTGAAAATAAATCTTGGTTGCACTCCAAGTAGGAAAATCCAGAAAGATTTAAGAAAACTTTTGGTTTGGGATTTTTTTTTTTTTTGTGTGTGTGTTTTTGTTTGGGGGGGTTTGTTTTGTTTTAAAGCTGACAAGAAGGAAAGATTTCAGCAAAGAGTAAATAGAACAAAAGTGGAGTTGGTTTGAAACAATCTGTTGGCATACTTGACTATTAAAACTGAAAATTTAAATCAAAATCCAAATGGTGGGTTCTTATGTTTAATCAGGCTTGCTTTGTACCTTTTGGTTGGAAGTGTATAGGGTCAGAAGGTGAAAGCTGTCCGTTTTCATTTTCACCTAACTGTAGGGCAGTCTAATTTTCTTTGTGCAGAGGGCTGTACATCACCTTCTGAGCTGGGACTGGGCAATGCTCTTTGATCTGTCAAAATGCTTGGAATGTTTCACATTCTTAGTAAGAGTTACACAGTCACTGAGAAAATTCTATGGCTTTTTTTGAGGCTGTTCAAACATAGCATATGCCGAGTTTGAAGATTTGTTTTTTTCCCCCCAAATACTTGTTAGCACACTTGTACAAACCTGAATGCCTTACTTCATGCCCCCCCCCAGCCTGTATCAGTTGTGCTCTGGAATCCTTTAAAAAGCTGACTGTTACCAGTTTCCCAAATGATCTGAAGGCAAATCAATATTTACCTGCAAAGATTTTTCTTTTTCTTTTTTTTTTAAATGTACTTACTGGAAAGAAAGAATTACTTTCTGATTTTTGGATAGAACTGGTGACACTTGCATGATGTTTATACTTTCTTTTTTTTTTAAGAGCAAATGTGAAAATTGTTCATCTGCATTTATAGTGTTGTTTGAGGGGAGGTGGTGGGAAGGTTGTTCTTCCAGCATTTATTTCATTGTAAGAAGTTCTTTAAATACATGAAGGACTTCTGGTTGACTTCTAGAGGGAGGAGAGGAAAGATTTTACTATTGGTGGCTCTGAGTAATGGAGAAACTTTTTACTGTAAACAGCTCCAATTTTTTAAATACCTCTTTTTAGTGTTTAGCTGCATGACTCTTAAAGTGATGTTCACATCATTTAAAAAAAAAAAAAGTTGGCTTCTGTGATAAAAGCTTTGGGATAGGAGAGGTAGAATCTTAATCTCTTGTGAAATATGATCTTTTGAAAAGCTTTTATTTGTGGCTAGCAATTTCAATTGCTACAATATTTTGTAAAATAAAATGTGAGCAATATAATTGCATGAAAGGACTGTCAAGTAACTCTGTTTTTCATTTGACAGTACTTAACAACCGTCATTCCTTATGAGAAGAAAAATGGACCCCCATCTGTTGAAGATCTTCAGACATTAACCAAAAGTGAGCGTGTGAAGTTCCTTTCCTCTTTGTATTTCCAACTGTGGTTGCTCAAAACCAATGAATCATACAGTTATCTCTTCCCCCTTACCCTATGGCATGTATGTAAAGTTGCATGATTTTTAACTGTGCATTTTGGCCAGTTTTTGCTTGTTTTCTGAGCCTTCACGGTATGTTTGTTTTCTAGCTGTTCTCTGAAACCCTGAAGGCTAGAAACTTGCATGTATCAGAAAGTAAATGTTCTCACACTATTTCAACAGGTGGGCCTTACGGAAATACCGCATGTCATGGAAGTTAGCAATACTGTCTTATAGTACCTGATATAACCCTGTTTGTTTAAACTTGCTGTGCTTTATTGAGGTTATTGTAATGACTTTCAAAAACTGGAATGGATGTCGGGACGCTTATGAGTAGTTGTTTAATGAATGCACTTAATTGCCTTTAAAATAGCCTGCTTCTCTCTGTGGTTTTTTTTCTGTGTGTGTTAATAAATTTTAATAATTAGGGAGTATAAACCAAACAGAGTTTTGACAGTGCTTTGAATTCCCCTTTCTTCACATCTTTTTAGGCTAGATCCTCAAAATTATTTATGAGTTCTAAGTCCTCTGGTTTTTTTATTCTGATTTGCATGAAAAATAAGTTTGTATTTTTAAAATATTAATTATTAAGGTGGTTAAATACAGCAGAGCATCTCTGGGAGTCAGTGGGATCTCCATTTGAAGTTTATAGGAACAGTTTAAAAATAGATGGTAGAGTGCGTCAATGTATTTGATCACATCTCAGTGCAGGACTTTGGATCTAACTATGTCTTAAGGTAGTAGTTTCCAGCAGCACAGGTCTGTGATTCCACAGGTGGCTGAGGGATGGTAAAAGGCTCATTGGTTGTTTCCTGGAGAGAGAAAATAAGTATTGTGCAAATTCTGGAGTAAATTAAATGTTTAAGCAAGAATTAAATGCCTTTTATTTTTCTGCAGTAGACACCCTTAGCTGGTAATTCATATTTACTCTGTGACAAACGTATTTTGCATTTTATATTTACTCCTGCAGAGAAATTTTATCCTCTTGCCATGTTTAAATTTCACTTGAAAATATTCTCAAAAATTCAATATTAAGCAGAGAGAGGTTAAAGCCTCCTGAAAACGTTTTGTGTTGTTTGACCGTTTATTAACAAAATGTCTTGTACAAATGCACTGTAAAGTGTATTAACAGTATTGCCTTCTGTGGGCTGGTTGGAGCTTGATCCTGTGACTCAGTTGCAGATTTCTGACTCGCTCTCTATGCTGTTGTTGAGGCAGACAGTAAAGCAGGTGTTTGGGGTTGTTTGGTTGGTTTTCCTATCAAAGCTGTGTATTATTGCATAGTTATGAACACTAATATCTTACTTCAACATAGAAATTGAAATAAAACACTTGTTATATTTTAAGTTCAGAGTCTCATATGAGGAATTTGGAGCTTATGAAGTACTGCTATTCAGTATAATCCTGTACTTTTGATTCTTTCAGTTGTGTCCAGAGCACTTCATAAAGGATTGTCATTGTTTTTGTTTATGGAGTAACAGACAAGCTTCTTTGTGTCAAGTTGAGCTAGTCCAAATGTTTTTCCTTCTTCAGAAATAGGCAAGGATGGACAATTTTGACTTGATATGTGTCACAAAAATGGCATTTTGGCCATTATTCTAAGTTAATGCCAAATTCAATCATGTATTTAAGATTTTTCTAAGCTACAGTTGCTAATGTTCACCATTTCAGGGGAAAAAAAAACACCAACATTTTCATCAGATCTTTCACAGCAGTGTTTCTCCAGAAAAGTGTCATTATTCCATGAGTCAGGATGAAGATCAAGGAAATAAATTGAGTGATGGAGCATACTTTTTTACTTAAGATTTCCAACCCTCCAGCAGTTGTTAGCATATTTTAGTTTTGGATGTGGTGACTTTCTTTTGGAGATCTTTTTTTTTTTATAGGGAAGAGGTGCTTTTTTGTTGTTATGACTGATGACATTTTACTGTAATAATTAACCATGTAAAATGGGTCTCTTGCATCCATCTACTGCAGAGTTCAGTGAGAATTACACAAGTGAAAGGTGGAGATATGATGTGTCTCATTGTATTTGCTCACATTCTAGTTAAGAGTTTTCTTACTAATCTGGTGGTAATATCCCTATGACTAGTTGAACAGCTTCATGGTATTTCTTTTCAGTGTTGTCTTTATGACTAAATTTTTGAATATTTTTTTTTCCATACTTCAGTCCTGCATGCCATGAAAGAGGATAGCGAGAAAGTGCCAAGCTTGTTAACAGACTATATTTTAAAGGGTGAGTATGTTTCTTAGCAGGGATTTTTTAATTCTAAATTAACTTAACGTACATACAAGGTGCGTTTGAAAAGAGCAGTCCTACCGCATTCATGAATTATGTTGCCCTTCTATCAAACACAGCTCTCATTTATATTCTGTTCTTTTTTTGTCCAAGGTTTCTGAGCACATAGTTCATAAATACAATATGTTTATTTCGTTTGTGATAGTATAATATAGCAAAGTATGTGGTGTATATTCAAATAGCTGAAGGACATCAGCAGGAGCAGAGCAGTCTGGCTTACAAAGTTAAATGGGTGTAGTTAAAAACTTGTGTTGTATAGGTTTTTCAGACTTGAAATTCAAACTGCCTATGGTAATCATGGATTTGCTAGGTAAAGTGCTTATAGCTTCATTTTAAGTGTTACTTTCTGACCAATAGTAAAAATTCTTTATTTTACATTTACTTGTTATACCTTCTTCACATTTTATTTAAAAGATTTGTGTACCAATCATTTATTTTCCAGTCTTATACATTAATTATACTAATAGAATGTCAGACATTGAAAATCACTGCTTGCTTTAGCTGTAAGGAGTTGTTCCAGGTAGTTACCAGGTTGTTAAATTACTTTTAAACGTTTTTCTTCTGACTTCATTTTTGCCTAGATCTTATTAATGCTTATGTTCTTACTTAATTCTTGACATATAAATGGTACCATCTTCTTTAGTGTTTAAAGTTTAGCATATGCATTAAACTCCCAAGGTCTGAACAAACAGTGTACAAAAGGGTGATGGATGCCTTTATATTTGCCACCCAAATGTACATTATGTTCTGCTTCATGTTCACATGCTGCAAACTTTTTCTCTTCTTTTGGTATCATGCTTTCCAAGTCTCACTGTTTTGTCAAATACAATCATTTGACTTAACTCCCTCCATACGATTTTTAAAGGTTTTTGTATTTCTTACACAGATTCTAATCACTCTCATCTCGCAGAGATTTGAAATTACTTTCAGGTTAAAGTTGTGGATGAAATTTAGTGTGCTGTTGCTTCAGAAAATCTGAAAGGAGAGCCATGCAGTATTCTAGAAGCTCTGACAGACTTCCTGTTGGAAGAGGCTCATTTCTAAGTTTCACGTAGGGTTGCAGAACTACCACATACAATAAGAATGCGGAGATTCTTTCAGTTGATTCCTTTGATTGCTCCATTGTTTACTTACCCTTTCTGAAAATCCTTCCTATATTAGACAGATGTATTTGCTTATGAGCTGAGAGCCATTTAGGTGCTCTTTTTTAATGGTGATGGCACTAAACTTTAGTTTTGTGAAGCAGAATCTTTGACTGAAGAGGATGAACTGTTGTCAATAATTAAAGTTGTTTGCTTTTCATCATAATACATCTGGTAGAAACTGATTGGAATGAATAGTGCTCTTTACAGTGTCTGCTCTTATTTTTAGATGTAGCTATCCAGAAAAGCTTTCAGATTACTAGGATACTGAGAAGAGACTGGCTGCCTAGGGAAACGGAGAAATCTTCTGCATAGAAGGCTTATAAAAGTAGATTAGCTGAACATATGACAGGATGATCTAGGAAGCTTGATACTGAGGTTCCCTCCTACCTCTGCATGCTCGTGACTTTAAAATCACCAGGGATTTTCTACTAGCTAGATGCAACAATTACAAAAACATCATGCTCACATTAAATGTGTTGGATCAAACAGGTCTTCATATACAAGCACTGTTGTCTCTAAATTGTAAAACAAATGTTTGCAGCATGAAAAGTAATCGCTCACTCGCATCATTCATACTGAAAGGAAAAGGTGATTTCCCCTCCGCTGCCATGATTTTATTACTGAACAGAACTAAGCCTTTATCACTCTTCTGTGGGTCTGTTTGCACAACAGCAAGCAGTTGTACAAGCTAGTGAGCACAGAATTTTACTCTTCCTTTCAATGTAGCCTTAACTAAGCTTCATATTGCTATGTTTAGATTATGTTAAATATTTATAGCTTGGCTGACAGTGTTACATTGTAATGTAGATTTATCCTGTGGAACAGTGTCCTGTTCCAATCTTCCAATTGTTTCTGGAGTTGTAATCTGTTTCTCTTCTTTTTCTGCCACTAAAACTTCTGGTCTGAAGCCTCGGTGAGGCTTCATACATGGCACAAAATACTCCCAGCCACCTGTCTATTGTCTGAAAATTATTTTTAAAGCTTGTTAAAGGGCGATTAGATGATTCTAAACAATCACTTGAAACAACTTCCAGCTCAGCTTTTGTACCTGAAATTCCAACCTACTCCCTGAATTTCAAAATAAAAGGAGTGACCTACTTCTTAAAGAGTCTGCTCTCTTCACTGGAAAGATAAAAAATGTCTTGGCAAGGTGAAAATAATTATGAGGATTTAGGGGTTTGAATTTGTTTTCCAAAAGAAACAGGAGGATAACAAGTTCTGGACCCAGTAATAATAATCCGTATGGTATAGTGATAACTACTCATTTTACATTTGTTTACTCTATGATCCACCTATTGTCTTGGACTGAATGGATTTCATTTCTTTTTATTAAGCTTTAATCAAGAAATGACATTTTGAAATGTGTGAATTATATCACCAAAGAGACTTAGTTCTGTTAAAATCTGTTAACTACTTGTTCCTTTGAGGATCATTTTTTCCAATCTTAGAACAAAAAAGCAGGCAGTAAATTATACGTGACAATAGGATATGTGTAGCTTTATGGGAAATCCGGTTAGTGTGGCATTTGTTAGCACAGGTAAAACCTTCTTTCTAGCTCGATATTCCATTTTACACAGCAAAGAAAAAAAAAATCTTACTTGTAAGTTATTATCTTTTTTTTTTAAAGCAGCACTGTCTTTTTATTCTATGGTATTTAAAAAATTAGAACATGCTAGTCTTATGTGGGTGTTACGGCTGTCCGCAGAATTAGTAATAAACTATAAACTTGCCCAAATTTTGTTGGTTACTGTTGAAAAGTTACTTAGAGTGTTTAGAATCAAGAGCTGAAGAAAAAAATATCAGGAAAAAAGTGATTCTAACAATTGCCCTAGTATTGTTGGCATAATGTAATGGGACAAATAAAAGAAAAATGCTGTGAACCTGGAGGGGTTAATGGAACCATGAGATTGAGCAGTAAGTGTTCATTTAACAAGAAATCTTGCCAAATTCACTGACATTCTGATAAAACAAAAAAGAGAAATAAGTTTATATTTTCTCTGAATTTCATGGTGTTTTGTAGAAGCGTCACCATCTTGAATATCTTGAACTAAATGCCAAAATAATTCTGAAATTTGTGAAAGACTAAATTTGGATCAGATAGGAAGACACACACAGACCCCCTCCGTGTGTGTCGTCTAATACTTGATATCTTCATTTAATAATGATAGAGTAAATTTGTTTTGGCAAGGCAGTTTAGCCAAGAGCTGGAGCACAGGACTGGAACTTGAAGGAGAGTTCTGCAACCAGAGCTGCTATTGACCTTCTATGTTACCATGGATCATTCTTGCACTTTTTTTCATAACCAGCTAACGCTTCTGAAACACTGGAAGTAGAAATCCTCAAAATACGGGACGTGCAAATGCGGTATAATAATGAATTGAAAAAGTCCAATGCAACTCAGTTCATTCCATGTTAGGAAAAAAGAAAACTCCATATGCATTTCTGAATAGGATTATTAGTTTTGAAATTACTTCTGGTGTTTGCTTCTTTAAAGCATCCTCTTTTCCCAATTTCTACCGCCCTCTTGTGTCCCCCAAAATGTTAAAAATATCATCATTTTGTCCTCATGCTTAAGTCTCTCTTTCCAGTGATCAGGTAGCTCTCCCCTGGATCTATTCCATAGGGAGTACCTCCTCAAAGGTAAGCATCCCAAAGCCAGACTGTGTACATATTCCATGTAGAGTCTTGTACAATGCAGTAACTTACCTTCTCTTGTTCATGTTATTCTTGATGCAACCCAAATTATTTTCAAGGGGATTTTTTTTCCTTTTGTGGGGTTTTATTTCTTTCTATTTTTCAGTGAACAGTTCCATCTTGAAGTTAGTAATAATGAAAGGGACTTAGTGATTTGCTTTGCAAGTATGTTGTAGTTCTTCTCCCACCAGCATACGATTCATACTCTATTTTACAGATTTAGAATGAAAATAGATGGTAACATGAAATTGATAAGCATTTGCAATTGTGCTTCCATTTTTCTGAATATATTTTTAATATATTAATATTGTTGTTATATTTTATCCCTAGGGATCATGGGTGTCAGTCTCTTCTCCCAAGTAACAAGTGATTGTTACAAGAGGAAACGGCCTCAAATTGCACCAGGGGAGGTTTAGGTTGGATATTAGGAAAAATTTCTTCACCGAAACAGTTGTGAAGCATTGGAACAGGCTGCCAGGGAAGTGGTTGCATCACCATCCCTGGAGGTATTTAAGACATGTAGGTGTGGCACTTAGGGACATGGTTTAGTGGTGGACTTGGCAATGTTAGGTTTATGGTTGGACTCAGTGATCTTGAGGGTCTTTTCCAACCTAAATGATTGTATGATTCTATGAAGTAGAAACTGAGATTTGGAGGAGCATGGGGGAATGCCTTTGACAGGGAAAGAAATATCAAGCCAACACTCTGAAATACTTGATCTTAGAAAGCACGCGTTTGGACTGAAGCTGGCAGCTTAGTAAGCTCACTGTCTTTAAATGCTGTTTGTGCTCATCTTTCTACTGATCTCTTTTGATGGTTTAACAAATATAACATGCTTTGAAAGTATTGCGTTTGTTTCCATTGAAAGACCTACTCAAGCAAGTAAGCAGCGAAGTTTCTTGTGCATAAGTTAAGCTGTAAAGCAGGGGGCACAGATGGAGATATTTTTGTCATATCTTGTAGTTGCACTGGTTGTAGGTGTTGCAACGAGAATAGGTACCATATCCTTAGATGTCAATACAAACATGCTTTCTATACCCATTGAATTTTTTTTTACAGAAGCTTTCAGTCTTTCTTCTTGCATGTGTAATGTAATGACTTTCTGCATTATGATTTATTTGCCAAGTACAATAACGCAACAAGTAGTAGCATCTGTAATCCTTGACGTATGCCAGTTTAGGCTGTTTTCTGAAGAAAATGCCTCTGTGCAGTCGTGTTGTCTGTTTCTTCAGCCTCACAAATAATAATTGCCAATTTCAACCCCACAAGACAGAAAGAAAAGTTACGGGAATAACTGCGTTTCACAAATACTATAGGCAACTGCATCTAGGTAGGAGAAGGACTGAAACCACTGTTTCTATTGAGCTAAAGGCTGTTGGCTTTTAAAAGCCAACATAAAGTTGGCCAGATAGCTTTTATGTATTCATGTACGGGTGAATACACTTCCAGTAGCTCCTATCAGTTTGGGGGCATGAGGACAGAGGAACAATATGGGGAGGACCTGGTGGGATGGAGTTAATGGCAAATTTAAAGTAGAAGCTGAGGAAGGCATGGTGGGAAGGGGAGTTACCTAGTTTTATTGTTATGGGGGTGAGGAGGAATATCTGAGGAAATCTGCTGGAAGCAAGGGTTCCTTAATTTAGCTACTTACAGAACAAATCCATGAGAGATATGAAATGTTAGCCTGTAGATATACACAGAATCAAAATATTAGGGATAAGTTGCCTGGTATCACATCTAGACACATTATTTCAAGATTATTAGTTTTTCCTTCCAGTTTTTGCAAAATATGAAGATTTAACTTTGTGTACTGGGATAACTTTTGAATATAACATATTACCAGTATGATATGCAAACTGAATAAATCATTCTCCCTACCCCTGCATAGTTAATTGCTTTTTTCCTTAATTTGAGAACTCATGTAAGTGTAAATAATTGTGACCTTCTTAAAACATAACTATTATATATAACAATATATAACTATGTATGTATTTATAGCTGAAATAAATGCTTTTGAAATCAGATATGTCCTTACAGTAAACTGTTCTGAGATGTATTTATTGCTAAGCTTTGTGTTCTTTTCCAATTCTCCTTAAACAGTAATTGTGACATAAAGTACAGTGCTAAAAATAATATGCTATACATTACTACTGAGTAAAATGCATGAAATCTGTCTAGTATTTTCTTTCAGGCTTTTTTCTGAATGTTGGTGTCATGAAAGCAGAATCATTTTCCATCTTTCAGCTTGCTTTGCTATTTCATATCTGATCTTTCAAGCTTCTAGTAAAGGCTTAAAAAACGCACAGTTTTTTGTTTTAATAAAGCAAGATTTTACTCCTGGATGTATTTTTAAATTACGCAAGTATTTCAGATAACAAGAACATTTCTTTTCATGCCTTTGAAGTTTTTCTTTGTTACACCTGACTTCTTTATTTGCTTTTGTGTTGTGCTAGCATTGGTTTGAAAGCTGGATTGCTCTGAGGTTTGTGTCTTACATGTGAAACAGGAATGAGAAACACGTGAAGGACATGTCTTGTCTTCCCACTGTGTGATTCAAGTACACGCACCAGAATTAGAAAGTAGAGTTAGAATCTCAAATTGTCAGTGCATATTTTTAAAATATAACTGCATGCATCACCTTTTATTTAATGTTCTGTTTTCTAATAGAACACCTCAAAAAGCACTGTTTAAGACATGACCTTTAGTTAACTCATTTCTGGGTAATATTAGTTAAAGATAGTGGGTTGTGTCACTTAATTATCTTTTGAGAAGAGGATGATATCTTAATTGCCAGTTTCAATTGATTTCTAGATTTTACCGTGTTACTGATAGGGTAGAATTCAACATTTAAGTATTTTAGTATACACAATACATTTTATACAGGCTAACTTCACTGATGTTTATCAAGATGTATTTGTGATTCTTTCACAGTACTGTGTCCTACATGAAGAGGGCTGCCTTTCAGAATTAGCCATGCTCCTTCCTGTGATGAGAAGCTTCCCATGGATATAACTCATAGTATTTTTTCATTTGGCAGTATACCTAAACCAGTATGCATTTACCTCCTCTATGTGTGCGTGGATTTTCTGATCCTACAGTAAGTCTTCTGGGCATGACAACTTATCCATTTTAACTTAACAGTGCAATGAACTGGAGCAGGGAACAAACATCGTACAGTTTTACTCACATTGTTCTGGCTTTTTTAAGTCTATTTTTACATTGTATAGCATGTAGTAAGTCCTCCTGCACATTTTGTTGTTGGAAGGAAAAGTAAACTTTGAATAGTGTAAATAAAATAAGCCTAGTTTTAAGGAATCCATATTTAAAAGCATCCTTAGTTCCTATAGCAAAGATGCAAAAAGGGTTATAGTCGGGCTTGGACTAAAAGATTCAAGTGAGTTCTCCAGGAGGCACTCCAGAACAGTGCTGGTGGAAGTCAGCATTCGACACTTCTTTCAAAATGGTAACTTTGATTGAACTATACAACAGTATTGTTCATACAGTGAACAAATCCAGATTCTTTGATGGTTTGGCATAAGTAATTGGTGTGTTACCTATCCCTATTATCTAACACAAACATCCAAGTAATGTAATATTTCATATTTGTTTTTATTTTAGTTAGTAATGTTCATGTGGCTTAGATATTCTCCCATATTGCTGCTATAATTTTACTGGTTTTAGTGTGTGTTTGATATTAATGAAAATGCTTCAATATATAAACATTTTAAAAGGCTATATCTTTTTAAAAATACATGTACAGTTTGAAAAACTTGCACATGGGTTCCAAGTTACTGTTATATTGAGACGTTGCTGTGTATCTCTAAATTTTACTACAAATCTCTCTTGTAAATTGTATGCACTGTCTCTTCTGTGATGATGTATCTGCATTCAAACAGATGAGAATGTATTTTACAAATCCTGTAAAAGAAACATACCCCATAATCTCAACATTAAATATTTGTCACAAAAAATTTTGCCAGTCTTAAAGATTAGATTGAAATATAAGGAGTACTAATAAAAATAAAGGAACTATTTTCTAGGTTGATTTCCTATTGATTCTACACCCAGATTTATATACTGTATACATAAAGGCACTGGAAGATAAGGTTCGAGAGATAAACGTCTTTTCTTCAAACAGTTTTTTCCATTTAAAGTCTTCAGTCTTTTTGTTAGTTGAAGAGATATTTGCTCCTGAATACCTTGTGTCACTTCTTTAGTACTTAATTTTTATCGTCGTCACCAAATACTCGTTTTGATCAGTAAAACACATTCAGTTTGAAAATAGTTCTCGTAATGCTTTCTTTTTTTTCTAAAGGCCTCAATATTTTTGTCTTTTGTGCCTTTTTCAGTCAGTAAAGATTTCAGCTTAAAATTCTTTCCTCCCCCCTCTCCCCCCACTTGGCCACCAATGGATACTTGCCAGCCTGCTCAGGAATAAATAGATCCTCTGCATCAGTGTGTCATATGCGAGGAAGTTTTTTTGTTCCTTTATTCTACTTCATTTGTGGTTTCTGTAACAAGAAAGCTGCCATTTATTTCTTTAGCTGATGTGTTACGAACTCATTATGGCATGCTTTTTCTATAGAAATGCTTGGTGTTGACTGTTGATGCCTGGAAATTGGCAAAGGGGATGACTCTGCTTTGCTTCATTTTTTTTTTTAAAAAGATGCACATGTGAAACACACCATGTGTCCAAATGAGATCTATTCAGAGATGTTTCAATCTACTTTTGAGGCTTGAGGTGACAAGATGGAACAAAAAAGAAGAAAATTAAGGGAAGAATTAAAAAAAAAAAACCACCCCAGAAAACACTTTTGACAAAGTTTGTGTTGTTAGTTGTAGCACATCTTGGATGACAAAGTCACAAAATACTAAAAGTAGTAAAACTTGAAAGAAAACCCAACACTAAAGACCAGAAACGGCTTTAGTGAGCTAAGCATCTGGTTGGGTATATCATGCCCCTCATCAGGCTAAACAAGGTTTCATTATGAAAAGTACCTGTTTACCTTGTATGTAGAATCCTGGCATTAAACAACAGCTGCCAAAGCTGGCAAGTATTATATACACACCTATATTTGTACATTAAAAAAATAGATCTCAAAACATTTGAATAAAAAGAACCATGCAGATCTGCTTTTCTGCTGAGTTCTATGTACTTCATATTCTCTATTATGCATCCTTTTTCCAGATGCATTATTGAATCTTGCATTCTTTCAGGGAGCTGGATTTCATGATTATTTTTAGTTTTAGCATGTGATAGCTTTAAATGGCCACCCAAGAACGGTTGCTGACAAATACCCTAGAAGAGATTTGGTAAAAATACATTTTTACCAAAATCCGTGCCATTTTTAATATGAAGAGTCCTGGAAGCAAAATGTCCTTAAAATCATTGAATTTTAAGTTACTTAAAGTTAGGTTATTTGTATCACTTGCTTTAATAGCCTTTTTTTTTCTTTTTTGTTTTTTCCTTTTTTTTTTTTTCTTAACCCAACCCTTTTTCTGGGTTTCAGCTATTTCATTTGATATAACCTTATTCACTTGCTGACTGGAGTCTCAAATTTTGAGTCAAGGACTGTCTGGACAGTATGTCAGAGGTAGTCAAGAGTCCTAGAATGATGTTGTCTCGGTTAAGGAAAGAAACTTGAAAACAATGTCAGTTCCTTTCTGGTGAAAGATAATGATTTAGCTAGACTCTCAGCTGGTGTAGGTTATTGGTGATAAAGAATGTCTGCTGTTGACTGTGCCAGGTAGTTGCAGCCTTTAACTTGGAGCAGTGGTTTTATTGCAGCAGTTCGCATCATTGTTGCTTCCAGACTGGATTACCTTGGTATTCTTTCTGCATGCGTGTCACTTGGAAACTGCAGCTTGCCCAGAAATGGCACTCTCTGAGCTTGGCAACAGTGTTGATAATCAAGTGTGTATCTCTGCACAGCGTTGTTTACAGCAGCTGCCTCCTCATTTCCAAGGGGACAGTTTAAGAGAAAGGTTTCGACTCCTGAAGTTGTAGATGGTGCAGAGCCTGTGTAGCAGGAAGCCTGCTTCTCCAGCTGCGGCAGCAATGGGCAGTGGAGCTCAGCAGCTTGCTTCACGTCAAACAGCATCTACCCAATTCCGTTGGGAAGGGTCTAGAAGCAAAGCTTTCTAGTGAGGCGTTCTCAGCTCCGATGCACCCAAGCCTGAACTTACTGACTCGTCTCATCATTCTACAAAGTGTATCTTTCTTTTGGGCGATGGGGCTGTATTGTAACAGTAACAGAATCCATGTGGGTCTGGAACTATTTTCTGATTCAGATATCAATCCTAATTTTTAAAACTTCTCATGAACCTCCAAGTTTTCCTTGGATATGAAGTCACTCCAGAAACCATAAAAACTCTGTCATCCAGTAAAAAATGAAACCTCAGAACAAAATGGATCTTGAATCATGTCAGGTGAATTTAGTGTTCTGCTTCTCTTGGGGGCACAGCACTGTTTATTTTAAGCCTAAAAAGAAACTCTGATTGTCATACAGGAAATCTACCTGTTCCAACACTAAGATAATACCATTTCTTTTCAAGATGTTTACAATTTTGCAGGTAGCAGTGAGTGCTAGAAGGGTTTTATAGGGCACATCTAATGATGGAGAAGTGCTAGATACCTTCCTTGCAGAGAGTTTCTTATCACTGAAGAATTAGAAGGAATGCTTTCATTTTTTCAGTGCTTTGTCCTTGCTGGTGAAATGAAGCGTCTTGTTCTCTTGCTCATGTTCTTTTGATCAGGACCTAACTCAGGACTTCTTGCCTTTTTGCTTGTATGTATTGATCAGCGATGGCTCTCTGGATTAGCTGATCAGTGTCCAGTCCTAACAATAATTGTTGAAGAAACTGTATGAACTGGGAGAACTAGTTACTGAATTTTGTTGCTGTGTTTTGTTTTTCTCTCCTTTATAATCTGCAAAAGTTGGATAGAAGCCTCTCTTTGCACTGAATGCTAATTTAAGCAGAGCTCATAATTTTGTTGTTCATTTTCCAACCGGTCTGTGTTTGGGTTTTGTGTTAACTTTATGTAATAAATATTAATTTTAATTTTCTGTAGTGTTGCATGCAAATTTATGAATTCAAGTACATGTTTCTTGGAAACAACATGTTATAACTTAGGCTGAATATAATGGGATGAAAACTCAGCAAAGAAGGTAAAGTGTTTGGATTTTCTTGATCAGGAAAATGTTTGGAGAATGCCCCAGTTTTTTCAAAACTATGGAAAGCAAATTCTGATCCTACATCTGTTTTTGTCAGTATGCAGTCCTGCACAGTTCTATGGCTTGATGATATTCAGGGGCTGACCAATTCAAAGAAAACAATCCAGATTTTCCCGCTGACTGCATTTTTGGCCTTCAGGAGTATTCCATTGCCCAGCTCAAGCAGGCTGGCATACAAGAAGTCTTTCGAGTGGAATGGCAGCATTGCTGTTAAAATATCAGTTCATTTTTATCCGTAGACAAATCATTGACTGCTCCGAGGAATGTTTCTCCTTCTGCTTGTATTGCCTTCACAGGAAAACTAATTGTGCAAAGTAAGCCCCATATAGATCATGCTGCTTATCTGCGTATTTTGGAATCTGGGGTTGGAAGATTCCTAAATTAGCATAGAAGTCCCTCAAAACACCTTACAGCTATTTAATCATGAAAAAACATCTCCGCAGTATTACTTACATTCACCTGTTTCCAACCTGAGGGATAGAAATTGTCCTTGAGATAAATTTGAAAAAGACAAATGCAGAACCTCTGTCACTTTCTGTTCCAGAAATTGATACTGTCTGCTAGCGATAGCATGAAAATAGTTGAGTATAGAGCTGCTTCCTTCTATGTGCATCTGTCATCGATGCGTGGAGGGAACAGTCATATCAGCATGATCTAAACCTCATTGTCACCAGAACCCCTAAGCTTTTGCCTAAAATTGAACAAATTCTTCCTCTAAATGCATATCCAAGATCGTGAAAGATTGAGCCCTAGAAGGCTTCGCTTCGCATTCGGTGCAGTGAGCGATTCCCCTGTGAACATTCTGGACATTGAAGCACAACATGGCACTGCAGTTGCCTGTTACACCGAACAGCACAAGAGCAAGGTGTGCTGCGTAAGCACTTGGTACTGAAGGAGGGTCTTGCAGAACCACTGCACTTTACAGCGGTGACAGCTTCAGTAGGACAGGGCCCTTGACATCTTAAGATTTCTATAGGGCATTTCAGCCATAAAGGATGGACAGGGAGGTCTTTTTTCCTGTTTCTGTAGACATTGCTTTTCCAGTGCCTCGTAAATTTTTGTACTGCTCTGGACTGGCTTAAGAAGCTGAAGTATGACTTTGCTGGCTTAGAACAGTAAGTTGAAATTTGTGGTAGAAATCAAGTAAAATCCTATAGTCTCCAGGGTACTTTTAAGAGCCCTGTATCTAATCCTGCGTGCTTGGGTTAGCAAATTATTAATGATCATTCTTTGTCATCTACCCTTTGACATGAAAAAAACAGTTACTGATAGTGACATTTGCTTTTGAAGTGTTGATCAACAGCTCTGTTGGCTGCCTACAGGCAATTCTGCACTGTCTTACAAATGGCTCCCAGGACAAAGGTTATCTATGTAGCTAGAATTTTTTTTCAAAGAAAAGCTCAGAGTTTTGAAAAGCCTATTTAAATAGGCGTCTGAAGAACACAGAATGGATTTCAATGGACTTTCTATTAGTATTACCCCTAAACAATTCACAAGCGTGGTTCAGTATGTTAGAGCTCTCACACTCATGGTTAGAGCAGTACCAGGAACATGAGATGAGAACATACCACACGGACCATACCTTTAGCGTTCTCTTGTAGAAACTTTATTCCCTGGAACTGAGGAACAGTACCCTTCTCACAGCTGAACAGCAATCATGGAGTTGAGACATCACAAGGTGTTGGAAGATCAGGAGACAGCTGTGTTCTTTGCCACTATGGAAGAGCTCAGGAGCAGGTAGATATCAGCTGTGGGTGGATGGACCTCAGAAGGTAAGACCAGATACTCAATGTTACCGACAGCAGTGACTTACTGACTCAGGAGATGAAGCAGCAGGACCGACTGGAAGGTCTTCATTGCTTCCTTCTGGCCTCTGTTTCCTGCGCAGGGCTGAGTCCCACAGTGGCCAACTTTTCCTGCCTCTGCCCATGTTCCTTTCCAGGTGGCCCTTCCTGCCCCTTACCTTGTTTGTGCTCCTTCCTATGCCTGCTCCTCCCCATTTGCCTGAGGCGACCTTTGTGGTAACCCTTGCTCCATGCCTCAGTAAGAGGAACACGATGGGCCCACTATGCTCCCCCTGCTACTCCAAACCAGTGTTTTTTCTTTTCCCGCTGTCCCAGCCTGGTGGCTCTTCCATTTGTGTTACCAGCTGTAAGCCCCTTCTCCCTTTTAAATACCCCATGGAACATAAGTAGTTAAGGCTCGTATCTTTGAAGAGGGGAAATTCATAAGGGATCTGGGTGTTGGGGAAATTGTGTCTGAGGAAGTAAAGAAGCATCTCGGAGACTGAGCAAGTGTGTGTCAGGGAGTGCTGACAACACTGAGGGCAAACAAGGAGTTGCAGGGCTGGCTGGCTGTGGTGGGCTGCTAGCATAGAGGCGCACTGTCAGAGCCAGAGGCAGCCGCTGATGCAGTGGGTGTGAGGCTGGTGGGCAGAAACACAGTCTGGCTGCACGGCTGCTGCGAGCTATTGAGTGCTAAGCCCAGAAGAAGGGAATGGGCTGTTGAGAAGGAGCAGGTCTGGGTGAAAGAGAGGAGGTTGTCAGTGTATGACTCAGTAGGGGAGAGTGTACTGGGAGACAAACTCCCATTTTTTCTGTGTTGGTGTAAGTTGGTTTGTTTGTGAAGGCTGTTACGGTCTAGTTCTCAGTTAGCTGGGTGTAAAGGGACTGTGCGGTTTTTCTGCCTGCTTTGTCATCATGGGCTAAGGGGAAAATAAGGCTGGGCTGCATGTGCATCTGTGGGGCACAGTCCTGCTGTAGTCTGTAATGGCTTATCATCATCTTTGCACAGACTTCACAGTTCAGAGATGATGCGTGTCTGTTGACGATGATGTTCCAAGGATGCGGCACAGCCTGCTGTAGGACACAGCAGCCTTGCGTAGGATACCAGCTAGTTTTCAGTCCCTGTGAAGTCTTTGGCTCTCTAACAAGAATACAGTTCTAGAAATCTGGGTCTCGGTTGTGGCCATGTTTGTCAGGGCCTGCAGAGTCTCAGGCCTCTTGAAGACTCTCTGCTTTTCACTGTTCCAGTGAGGTTTGGTGTCTTGGTCCCACACCACATTTAGTCTTGGCCAAGGGTGAGATTTAAGTGCCACACCTCAACAGTTCTGGTCTTTTCTGCAAACTGTAGCTTCTCCAGGATTGCACAATCACGGTACTGTTTCAGGGGGTTCAAGTTTTGTTCAGGCTGGGATCTCTTAAGCCTTTAGTTTGCTTGTTTCTGAAGTCTCCAGATCATCTGGAATTAAAAAGCATGTTGCTGTCAGTCTGCAAGTTCTCACATGTGTTCCCAGGTGCTTGGGTCTCACAGCCATCTTACAGAAGACTGTATTTCTCCCCCAAAAGACTAAAACTGGGGACAAGATAAGAGAAATAGATTCTCAGAAAGTAACAGTCCATTGGTCATCCACTGATTTATTTATATTACCCTCTCCCCTTTAGATTCGGTGTTAGGAGCGGTGCTATTGTGTTGTGTTTGGATGCAGTCTTAGCAGAGGGCTCACATTATTTGAGCTATCTGATGGCTTTTCCAATTGAGGATACCAGCAGAGTTACCATCAGAAACAGGGAGATCCTTGTACTTATGTGCATTCTGGAGCTGGCAGTCTGATATGGTTAGGGTTAGAGCTGGGTTAGGGTTAGCATCCTTTCTGGAGTTAGACCACTGAATACTGCAGTACCTCTCCATTTAAAAGGGGGACATGAGCCACTTCTCATCTGGTCCTTACTTTCTGCTTAGGAGAGTCATTTCTGATAGATTCACTGTAATGGCCCACGGCTTTCTAAGATCTGAAGACTGCCGTTTACAGACGACTAGCTTTCCTTCTGTGTCATTTAAGAATAATATAAATCAGTAAGAGTTCTTTCTAAAATGGCACCTTTAAAGGAATATTTTCTCTCTGGCAAGTGTGAGTCTGAAATACATGTGCCTGCCACAGGATGGCAGCAATCAGTCACCTTTGAAGCACCTTCTTTCAGTTAGAGTATTGCATTTCAAGATGAAGTCCAAAGATAACTATTCACACTAGATCACCCTGTGAAGATGCTATGACAAATACAGGAAAGCCCTTGTGTATTCTTATTCATTATTAATGAAAACCATGTTTTACAAAGTTTATTACAATACGATAATTTGCTGGCCCAGGGGATGAGCTCTGAATACCTTATCATATGGTAGTTTGTATGGGAGTTCATTCTTTGGGGGATTAAATACTGAGGGCGCGGTATGTAATCTCTTTTTAATGCTTCCCAGTGAGTGCATACTTAATTCTTACCAAAATCTGAGGGGTTTCCACCTTTAGGCCTGGGTTTCCAGTGCCTGAGGTCATCTAAACTAAACGATCCATCACTGCAGTGTGATGCCCAGCTGTGACGTACCTTCAGTTTCCCTGAAATTCAGTGCCTGTTTGAAGGCATTCAGTGCCTGGAGCCAGTCATTAGCATTTTAATGTTCATGTACATTTACTTACAGCTAGTATGCTGTTATCTCATCTGAAACAATAAATTAATTTTTACATCCAGGGTTCTTTTAAGTCACTTGTAGTGGTCCCTGGTTGGTTCTGTGGTCAATGTCATCAGCTGTGATCAGTGACCTGTCCCAGCACTGAATGGTAAAAGCATTATATTCAGTAAGACTCTGTGAAAGCTGAAGAGGATTTGTAGCCTTTACCGTGTAAAGGATTTGGTGAAATCATATTGTTCTTTGAAAGTCCTACTTTGTGAAAGCTGAGCCTTTTTGTTAGAAAATACAGTTTTAAAAATCAAAAAGTGCAGGGGTAAAATGGGATTTGTAGCCAGCGAGCTCTCTGCCCAGGCAGACTGTATGTCCTGCTGCCTCCTGCCAGGGATCCACGTCTCTGTCTCCACCACTGCAGGTCCGCACCCCAGCACTGGAGTGCAGGGCCAGTCTCTCTTCCCCACAAGACTAATAAGGTTTACAAACGTGAGTCACGCTAATTGGGACGGTGCTGCTGAAGAGGTGTTTCAGCTGCTCACAGAACCAGTGGGGGAAACAGCCAGAGCTTCAGTCTCTCTTCTTACCAGCTTAGGTATCTGCGCTGTGGGTCACGGGTTAAGTCAGTCTCTTCTTTCTTTTGGTCGGGGTGTGTG